ACATTAGCTACTGATATCTCAAAATATCCGGATGACATGCTTTTCCCAAATATTTTCGACAAACTTGAGATACCCTCCGCAAAGTACTGTTATCTTTACTTCCAAGAATGACTAAATGATCTATGATTGGTAGAACTGTTGTTTGCAATGATTGCTATGATTGTATTTTCTTAGATTAATTTTTTTTTATTCCTGAATTTTTTCAAACTTTTAAATTACCTAAAAAATGTATGAAATGCTTTTCATGAAATATTTTTGGAAAAGAAAGAATTAGTTCGACAAATAATCACAGATACTAAATACTGTTTGTAAATTTCATTATTGTGAAACTTTTTAAGATATGTGATGACAATAGGTTCAGTATGTGGTTTATCTGGCACAATGCTTGCAATATTTGTTCCCGCAACGAGGATCTTGACATCGCTTTGTGGAGACAGTTTGCTTCCCCTAAGTCTACTGGCTCATACCAGCAAGAAGAGAGGAGTGCCATATTATGCAGTGCTACTATGTGCCCTGCTCTCTTCCTCAATGCTTCTTCTCAATGTCTCCAAACTATTCGAAATTATCGCTTTCAGTACTCCTCTAAGACTGATAATGCTTGTAAGGCCTTTGCTAATTTCAATTCCTTATAGGCTAATTGACTATCCCACTTATTATACAGGGCTGTTTGATATACGACCAGCGCTACAATCCAAATGTGGTTGGACTATTTCGAGAGACAGCATTCTACCGCGGCATTCATCGCAACCGGTATAATCGACACAAAACTAAATCATCGAATATTTTCACGGATGATGGAGATTCGTGTTCGGTTACCGTCTCCGGGTAATCATATTTGTTAATGCCAATACAAGCATAATAAACACTTTCAAGTTTTTACACACTGATTTTAATTCTTCAAAATATTCAATTACACAATTTCCTCACTTCCCTCTACCAGTTTTTACCTTATCATAAAATTGTTTACTAATTCGATCAATTTCCAACTTTTTACAGCGAAATATTTGCAAAATTAAAATCTAATTCTGCACAAAATTGAGTTTCTTTCCGTTTCTTCCATCGGACAAATTCTTTTTTAGCTACAGGTGGAGTACAGATGACGAAAATAGTGAAATGATAAGCAGTTGCGAAATCCTACGAAACATCATTATCCAACAGGAAGTACAGTGTCAACAAGAAGTTTGTGAGAACTGGATGGATAAAGTATATCAATTTTCTGAATATCTATATTTGCATAAATTCATTTAGTAGCAATAAAGTGATAGTATCAAGAAAAATTTATTTTCTGGGATTGAACTTTAAAAGAATCAGACAAAAAATTACAGCATTTCATGCATAGTATAAGAAAAGATGAATAGTTTGTTGTGCCTCTTATCTGATTGCTTATGTAAATTCTATCGTAAAATTAGCGAATCTCTTCTTTACTTCTCTTCACTCTTCCAGATATCATCAATAAATGAAAATTTGGGATTGTTGCTAAATGAGGAAGACGAAGAAAATGAAGCGGATCAAAAGCTAAGTGAGAGAAATTTGGCGAAAAATTCACTGACTGGTTTGCGATACAGTACATTTAATAATGTGAGTATTTTGTCTTAGTAAAAATTGAATTTAAGTTTCTCATATCTAAATTTATTAAGCACACTTACCTTCTCAATAGTTGCATTTCATTTTCAAATAATATTTTTTCATTAATTCTAAATGGCAGTTATTAATTGCATTATGTTTTATTATAAAGGAACTAAGCCTTGACTCAGTTTTTAATCAGAAATAAAAAATAAGCAATAAGACTGCTTCAGTGACATTCTAACTGGATTCAAATTTCTTTTGATCACTTCACTTATGACTACCATAATTTAGTTGGACTTTGATAAATTAAACTGTGGAAACAATTTGCTTTTCAAATTTTTTCAAAAAATTTCAAATTGCATTGTTACAGTTGCTAGCAGAGAATCTAATGGAAAAAACAACAAAATTTTACGATGACAGAAAACGACTGTCTATGTCATCACAGGACACTTACGACTTTGGCCACAACTGTATCAGATCTCCATGTTCTTCATGCTTCAGTGAAAGTGGGAATAATTTTTACTCAATTATTAGCCTAAATTATGGTCAAATTTTCATTGTTCCTATCATAATCCCTAAGTCTTTAATATAGATTTTTCTTGATAAGATTGCTCCTTGTTTAATTTTCAGTTGTTAACTTATTTTGCATAATGTCCTCTAACCTGAACAGTCACTTCAATTTCCTCACTCCACTTTTTACTCAGTAAGTATCATGTGTATTATGGTTACCGTTTAAGCTAATTGAATTAAATAATAGTGTTTTTTTTTTCTTTTTTCTTTTGGAAGATTAATCAGGACACTCCATTGATTTCAGTAAAAATTTGTTTAATAACTAACCATAAAACAAATTGGTACTGAGTCTAATGCATTAAATTCAGATTTTAATTTGATATTTCAGGATTTAAATAATAACTGAACTATAAACGCTCAATGAGAACTTTATCACTCTTTATTTTAAGTTGTACTTCTGAATTAATAATTTTTCATTTTCCGAGTTCCACTTCTGCTTCAAAATATTACCTTGTTTCAGCTGAAATCAACAAGCGTAAGTTTCACATTTTTGAACATGATATTCCCAAGATGCCATACTGGAACAAATATCCTGGATCAGTGTCTGGTTCGCAAGATTTCGACAAAACTGACCATAAACGTTCAATGAGAACTTTGTTTCTCTTTATTTTAAGTTCTGTAATTATTGGACTTTTGATTCTCAAGACCGAGAGCAGCTTAACGAAGGTATCTGCGAGATTTTGGTGGTTCTTTCAATATATAACTGATTAAAAAATTGTTAGAAGATGGTTTCATCTAATTATTTATTCTTTCTTTCATTTTGCAAGAAAATTAGGAAAGGTGATATAAAATTAACTAATATAGCTTTAATTTAAATCTCTCTAAATACTTCCATAAATTGAATTCAGAATAATTATCCGAAAGAAGCAGTTCAATTATCATGTCATGAACAAGCAATATCATGTCACAATTCTGAAACTTTCATTTAGCTCACAATTTGATTTTCAATCCATCCTCCCAGTTTACACCAAACTAAATTGATTGCGAAGTATCCGATTAATAATTTCAAATCCTTACCGCATTCATTGCACACCTGCATTACGACTGCAAATTCCTCAACTTTGTGGGTTTATGGTGTGGAATTTTCAGGCAGAAACAGATGCCTTGTTAAAACGATTCACATACTAATACTCAAATTTTTACAGTATATGAATTGATTTTGAAATTAATTTATAGCCGTATTTAACTCTACCAATGCTTTTGGCATGCATAACTTTGGTATATCTCATGATAAACACTGCCCGACAAACAGTTAATCCGGTAAACAATGAACGAAATTGTAAAACACCTGCATTTCCACACCTCACACTTCTTGTAATCTTTCTAGCCATACTGGTGGCATGCACTACTGATTGCATCACGGTAGTGGGATTTATCGCTTGGATTATTACTGGTTAATAAGTTCACTTTTTTCTTATTTTAAAAATTGATAACTTATTAATTAGGAGTCTACGCCCTACTTGATTTAATTCATAAACTTCCCACGACTAAAAAAAAAACCACAGAAATTTCTGACTAAATATGCCTCTTAAAGAAATCTGATATTTTCACGTTTATCATTTATCAGTCACATTTCAGGAATGATACTCTACGTATTGTACGGATATAAGTATAGCAAAGAAGGCCGTGCACCATTTAATGGTTTGATCATTGGGAATAGCTTGATAAAGGACAACTCTTCGACTAGAATCATGAATAACACAAGTAATCATCAATTTAGTGTAATCATGCTATAACAATGATATGATACCAAATGGTTCATGATGTTTATCCCACCTAGAGATAATTATCTTCGAAATAAGGTAATTAGACAGATATGAATGAAAATAAATTTGACTGCATCTATTGGCAAGACGAGTAATTGGTCGTGATGTATTGTGGAATACACCATTTAGTAATCGTTTGTCTTCATTTGGTGTAAGCTTTTGTATCATAAAGAAAGTGCATCTAAGCAATAATGAAATGATATTAGTAAAAACAGCAAAATAATCTGAAGAATCTTATCAAATCTATCACTGCTCACAACTTTAAAATCAAAAATAAAATGGAAATGTCAATAGCATCGATAAATGTAATAATCATCTAAGTTTTTCAAAAAATGAATGAATGCAATATGTGAGAGAAAGAACATTTAGCACACTTTTTTGTAACCCTGTTTTATCTGATTGAAAAAAGAGATGGCATTATGAATATATAGACGTATTCTACAGAAATATATATATATATACATACATGATTATAAAGTATTGTGAGACTGACATAAAAATAACTTTAAAGTATGGAAAATACAGCATTTAATAAGCTCGATGAATTGAGAAAATTTTAAAGAAGCAGGCAAAGTCTCCAAAAGTCTCGAGTTCTATTAGTAAAAAGTCAGCATTTCGTAAACAGTACGAAAATAATTCTTACCGGACTGACATATTATTTTTAACTAGTTCCTGCCAACTAGTAACAACATCTCTATTATTTTTCATATTTTCTTAATAACTTGGACTGTAATAATGAGGTAGAACAAGACAGAAATCATATAATATGAATGCAGGCTTCATGGAAATAATTTTTATAACAGTGAGTTTTCTTTCTGCTATTCATATTTTCACCTAAATTAAAATAACAGTGGAGAGAATAAATATCCTAATCAGAAATGATGAATAAACAGTCATAATACAGCAAGAATGGTCGAAGAATCGTCCAGAAAACTGAAAACTGAGATCAATGAGAACAGAGGAATAAATAGTATCAACAATAATCATTCTACACAAGCAACAGAAAACAACAATAACAATAGTAACAATGCGGTCCACTGCATGAACTTTATACGAATGGTGAATAAGAATATGCATTTAGAAAGAAGCCAGATTCTTTTAGTCAGATTCCTCACTTGCTGCATCATCGCCGGAATAGTTGAAATGTGATGTTCCTTGATGACGCATCAACGATGCTGTTGTCATTGTATTATTACTCGTTCTAGTTGCCGTATTTTGCAAACGAGTTTTCGGTGAACGGTTATGATTTCCACCAGATACTAAGTGAGTACTTCCTAAAACTAGAAAGCTTTAGTTGAATTTCAACTTGTGTGTAATTCAGCAAATTCAATGGGTCAACAATCACTGTATAGAGCTTTCTAGGGGTTTGAATTCAAAACTTGAGAATTCTAATGATAAGAGCAAAACCTCAGCATACAACATACTATAATAAGTTACCGCACCAACTTGGTAAGGATGCACTCCGTTCAACGTCATCATTGTTTGCATTGGAGCTGGTGAAGGTACCGAAAAGGCTGTAGTAGCCATACTTGGAGCAGTTCCAAGTGAAGTATTGCCGGTAGTACCACGTAATAAACTAAGCGATGGAGTTGATGATGACTGCCTGCTGCCTCGATTTGCAGCAGCACTTGAGTCTAAAATGAAGCAGAAGTGACCGAAGCGAAATATCCAATCGAAATGCTTTCATTTCCGCATATTGATTAGATTAGAACATACCGGAATGCGAACTGCCAGGATGATTTTGCTGGTGTGAAAGTACAGACTGCGATGGACTTGTGAGTGACCAAGTCTGCAGACGTGAATAAAGTTCACTGAATGTTGGCCGTCGTTCTGGATGCTCATGCCAACACTCTACCATTAAACTGCAAAACGATCACTTGTCAATTAGAATTTTTCTTCGAAGGGAGAAAAATGGGTTCATCTCACAAAAATGGAATAAGATATCTGACTTAATAGTTAATTGACCAATCAAAATAAGCTTTCTATTCAACAATGTTTTATTTGTTATTTCAACCTTCCAATACCTATATATATTAGTTGGGCAGTTCTGTGGACATTCTAGTAGGCTTCGCACACAGATCAATTCGATAACATCCTGATGTGAGTAACTCTCATATGGCTGCCTTCCGTACGAGTAAATTTCCCATAAAGTTACTCCAAACGACCAAACATCAGTTGCTTCACTGAAACGACCGCATTGAATCGCTTCTTGTGACATCCAACGAACTGGTAACCAAGTTCGATGCATTACCTGCGAAAATCATCTTCAATGTTATAGTATTTATTATAGTATTTATAGAAAATCATAGCTGTTTGTCAAAATCCGAAGTAATTTAAAAATCAGAGACACTAGCTTTTTCAAAAATAGAAATAAAGCCCAAAGAAGTGTATTAAAAAACAAATAAAAATCCATTTATTCTAAAACATCAACTTTATAAAATTGTGTAATACTGTCAGCCATCATTATTATAATTTCATAATAAACCTTATAGTAGTCCTTCTCATAGCAATTTCGGACTAAACCAAAATCAGCAATTTTAATAACTCGCTGATCAGCCACGAGACAATTTCTGGCTGCTAAATCACGATGTACGAAATTCATACTCGATAAATACTTCATACCATATGCAATCTTAAACATAGCAAAAGTTAGCTGAATTCATCTCTTATAAATTTTGACAAACCGAAATATCTCTAAGCAAATGTTTCTTCTACCCCTTCAACGAGATCGTTAAGTAAAAAAGGATATACAAATAATTATTAAAAATTACCTGGAGGGCAATACGTAAGAAATCTTCATTATCAGCGATGATCCGCTCTTGATCTACTACTTGCTCATATCTGCACAAATTATTTATTATGAATGTAAGGTATAAATAGTCAATATATGCAACTTCTCCGATATGCTAATTTCCCAACAAACTTACCAAAAATATTCAAATACTAGGAATAAGAATTGCTGTTGCATCAGGATAAAAAAATATCTCTCAGTTAAGAATGTAACCTTCAATGTTGAAGTTTCTCACTTAAAAACGTCATTTTGAAAAACCGAAAAACAGTAGTTCATGTTTGTTGGTGTAAGATGAAAGTTTTAAAGAGAATGACACAAACCCATTAGTTTTTGGCGCTCGGAGAAGCAGAAAGTCATGAAGATCACCATGTACCATGTATTCAAATACAGCACTCAGCTGCTGTGTATCAAAGTAACAAACACCAAGTAAACGCACAACATTTGGATGATCGAAAGGTGCTATCGTACGGATTTCTTCCTCAAAATTTTGTCTTTCCACTGCACTGCTTCCAGATTTCAACGATTTCACTGCCACCTACAAAAGGCTTCAACAATGGATGATAGTTACAAATAACGGTACACATTCCTGTTTCTACTCAATAATTAAAGCGTTTAGCTCCAAGTTGCATTAATTATAAATAATGCAAAAATCATTTGGAATTTCTTATATCACAATAAAAATAAACAAGAAGGGGAAGAAAATATGTACTTTATTTACAAGTGCTCTATTTGTTTGTCTATTTGTTTTGAGAAATGAAAAAATCAGCGGTACAAAAAAAAGCACCCAACCTGTATTGGTTCGCCATTAAGAAGTGAACCATGCCAACTGCCATTGTGTATCATACCAAACTGTCCTTCGCCAATCAAATCGCCGATTTGCAACTAGAATTTGTTCTATCTTAGTGATTAAATAAACTTACCTTGTCACATGAAAAAAAAAGAGAGAAGTGAAATAATATAGAAAATTTATTCTATTTACAATTAAAAGCAGAATAAAACATAGCTAAGGCCAAAATACCATCGTAATCATTCACTATTACCCCGTCAATAAATTGCCATAAATATAATCTGCAAAAAAAATGCTGACCTGACTAGACTGTATTTCAGGAATTTGATAAGGCTCAACGGAAGGCTCAGTTGAAGGTCTTGGACTGTACTGAGCATAACTACCAGAATGATGATGTTGCATAAAAGTATTGCTATTTGTTGGTGCTTGTATCAACGAAGAAAGTTCGAAAGCTGCATTGTTTGGATCAGTGTTTGCTGTACCATTCAGTTTCCGATAATACGTGCTGTTTACAGCACTGAAAATATTTTTACAACTTGATTATATGTAATCATTCTTCAACTCATTAAGATATTAAGAAGAACGGACTACAGTAGTCCTTTATGATTTTATTTAGTTTAAGAGATGATAAATGAACCTGCTTGCAATACTGCATCCATTACAGTTTTGTAACCCATTTTTCTTGATAGCTGATGAACTTGCTGCTTCGCTACGTCTTCTTCGACAACAACAATAACAACACAGAAGAATCAGACTAAAAATGAAAAATCCAAAACCACCAAGTATTGCTAGCTGCCAAGGAGACGACAAGTTTGACCAAATGTCCGATATATCTCCGATTATAGAACCCTGAAAATAAACTTTCGGAACGTCCTAAATGATGATTTTAATATTTTTCATATAGGAGTTTGATTAGATTGCATATATGAACACAATTCATTATTTAACAGATATATTCTAATATAAATAGACATAGATATAGGTAGACAATTAATTACTTCATAAGTCTTATTTGGGAAAAAGAAACAAATATGCAGTATAAAATACAAACATCATCATCAATGGTTCCCATCACTTCTCGATCCCTTAAGTAAGGATACATACTAGGAGGACATTGACTGATATCACAGTATTCTTCTTGTCCATTTGGATGAGTAAAACACCATGGAGAGCTTTTCTTACCACCAGGATTGCGACAATGATTCCTGCTAGTTCGCAAGGATGGATACCGATCAATATTGAATTCTCTGCAATAACCTACTTATTACCTTTTTTATAACAATTTTTCAACGACAAAAATTTGCTATTTTGGAAAATTTTATTGTTTAATTTATAGGAAGTGTGATTCCATTTCATACAAAACTTTAATGAATGTTTTATTTCAAACAAAAAATTTTAATTTCGTAGTACTGCATCCGCAAAGATACAATGATACCTTTTAAGCAGCATAGGAAAGCATCAGCGCACGGAAGTAGATGTCTATTTCAATCTAATCATAATAAATGTTTAACAACAAAGAACAAACTACCTTGAGGAGCTCTGTGTCCAATTCATGCAACGCTTTCCAGATTTTGTTAAAGAAGCATTACCTTCGTAAGTTTTACCGCTATCCATATAACACCAATGCGGTAACTCTTTCGGAAAATCAGAAGACAAGTCAGTATTACCCTCAGACTATAAATAAAATATATTTTTAATCTCCCAAAATTACAATATCCATCATAGTTACACAGTTTACATCTCTAAGAAATTTTGTTTATAATACGTTTTCTGCAAAAAATTAAAAGATAACCTGATCAGCAACACTAATAATTGGTATGCAGTATTCCGCTTTCGGATTTAACGACTGACATTTGGGAAGAAGAGCTTTGGGATCGTCGCCAACCAAGTCATGTTCAGCTGCTAGTGCTAATTCTTTAGGACATAGATCTGCCTGAAATACAACACTGTTCGCATATTTGCTAGCTTGGTTTCAACGAAAAGTTTAATATTGCTCAACTCTAAGGCAGCAAAAATAAACCTGCAACGCATCGCAATCCTTCCGACAAATCGTTAATATATTAGGCATACCGGATGTGGCTCGATAGTCTGTTCCGGGTCCTCTGTCACATATTTTATACATATGATAGCATGCGACAGCATGAGAATAGTGTTTACACTGTGCCGATATGACCGGGCTACTGTTAATGAACATCATCGCTGCCCGAAGATTGCGATCTATAATAAGATTTAAAAATTAGACGACAAAACTGCTGAAATATTGGATAATGATTTCCATCATATTTCACTCAAATTCAATTAGAAATATCGGAACTACAACGAGAGTAATTTCTGAAGGTACTTTCCATATTCGAATTGTGCACAAAAGCTTATTAATCGAATGCAACATTTCCATAATCATAAGCTGCATTTTATTACACTAAAAATGTAATAATGGATGGAAATGAGAAAATACCAACCGACATCGTACATGTCCTCTCTGTTATCGCTTACGATCATAACATGTCGACCGGTGAGGTATTCACGACATGCTTCACCTCGGTATACAATACAATCGCCAACATTCGCATTCAGTCCGTCGAGCCACCGGTCACTTGGAGCTACTGGTGCATATCCTGGCCCCGCTGCATTATTTGGGACATTCCAAAGACTGTCCTCGGATTCCTCCTCACTTTGCAATCGTCCTAAACCACCGGACATTGATGAACCTGGTCCTTCGAAATCCTGCATAATCAAACTTTTTGCATTATTCTCCTCAAGCTAGAGAATCACACAACGACGTCAGAATCACCTGTGCCATAATTGAGAAAATGGCACAGTCATGAATTATTCAATGATAGGAAATTTTAATATATTGACAAAACTAAAAATTTCCTTTTAAAAACAATGCACCTCTTCAAAATATTCTTCGTTTTGGAAATTACTGATTCTCGACGTCGACTTTCCCTTCAACTTGTTAATATTCGAGGATTTCCCATCGAGAACGTTATTGACCTGAAATCAGTGATGACCCAAGTAATATAATGGAGCCAACTTATAGGATTCTCCAATAACTAGGAGATGAAAAGCTTAGATTAGGAACATAATGAAAAATTAAGTTTAATATATAAGCAAAACGTCTTTAGAAAAATGTACATAAGTGTTCTGATACATTCAAAAATGCAATAATAAATTTGATTTAAAGATGATTTAGTGTTAGAGCCACGGTTGCTGATTGGTTAGCAGGATGTATGTTGAACAATGGCTAACATGAGGAAAAGGCGGAAATGAACAGCTGCATCCCCTGCATAGATAATGGACAGTCAGGAAGACTACTAAAGGGTCATAGGTTAGTGTTGAACAGATAAGCACAAAGATAATAAAAGCTTTAAAGAAATACCGATTTATAACGTTTTCCATTTGCTTCCTCACAAACATACATAGTCTAGATTTGGAAAAGATTAAACAAATTTGAAAAAAAAGGAAAATAGAACATTTGTAGAAAGTCAAGCACACAAACCTGAGAAGCAAAAGCTAGTTTTAATATACGCTAGTTTTAAAAGGGCAGTTGCAAAATGAAGCAAGGAGGGCTGATTCGTTTGGAAAACGACATCAGTGATCAATGATCAATTGCGTTTTATGTAATTCCAAACTGCCAGTCCCATTTAAAACAATTATTGAATTTGAATTATTGAGGTTCCTCTTAAGAGCTTGCAATTTAAGAATTCAGCTTTAGTTTAATTTTAACAACTGGAGCACTTGACAACATTAATGATTTAATGTGAAACAAATTATGTTGGAACACTTTCTATGAGCAGCAGCATGTCTTATCATTCTAAATGAATTGATATGAAAAACAAACACCCTTCCGTCATAATCAAATAAAAGAGTTTCCCTTAACTTTCTGAGCCTTTTAAAAAGATGTGAAAATGAATTAATTGTGTGATAAAAATTAGACCTAAAAGTTTGAAGTTTTGCTTGATTCAAATACATCAACTGACTAATAAATAAATAAAAAGAAAGCGGGAAAAATGAAATAGAAACAGCTGTGATGATTGTAGAAAAGAGAAATCATTTTTAAATTTCAAAATTTTTTAATCTGACGAGGTATTTAATTTGCATAAAATTATATAAAATAGCAAGCAATAATTAGCATTATTTAGTATTTAGTCAAAAGTACGATAAGATGGGTGGTCATACAACTCCATCAGTGATCACAGTACGGATAGATGGATATGGAGACACTGCTACTCAAGAGAAAGAAGGGGTTGTGTCCGATCGTGTCTGTCCATGATAGAGGAGAGGAGTCGTTGTCGTCGTCCATCGTGATGGATTGCAATTTCAACGATTGCTTTTGGACAGCGACATTTTGCACAGCAAGCGCTGCTGAGGTCGACGTGACGCAGAAGGCCATCAGATGTACAAGGCTTCTCAGCCATCTCTTCTCTTCATCACATATTTTATTGTTTTTCCTCATCCAATCCATCTTTCTCCTCGAATTAAATTTAAATAAATTATGAAACACGAAAAGCAAAATGCAATCTTCATAACTTTAATTAAGCACGACAAATCCGTTATTTTATCTTTAATTGAATATATGTCCGTAGGAATGGACAGAACAACTTTACGACTTTCTATCACATATATCAAATAATGTGGAAGCGGACGGCATTGTCCCTTGAACAATACAACATTATTTCTATTTCTACTTACCACTTCTTTCCATCTGTTTAAATAAACGACTCAAAGCTGTACTTCATGGTCAACAAATTTTACTCATTATAGTGATTTTTTTCAAGATCTAAAAAATCTCATTTAATTTTTTTTTTCTAATTTTCTTTTTTATTCGCTTATCCTTAATAATTTAATCTCGTAGGAAAGAATTGTTAAAAAGTATAAAATTTCACTAATTTATAAGATATAAAGTTTCAAACAGTCACAAAATGTAAAACAGTCAATTTCGACATTTGAAATAAGAATGAAATAAATCAAAATACGAGGGGATGAAAACAAGAATTAATTAAATTGAAACATAAACATGAGATATTTTCTATAATTTGCAAACTAAACCAATGAAATTGCTAGTTTGGTTGAATATAGCAATAGATGAAGGGAAAGCGAAGTAATGAACAGTGCTAATAAAGTATTGGAATAATTAAATGCCGTGTGGTGATTAATTAAAAACAGCTGGGTGGTGGCTAATGATAACAGAACATGGGGTATAGCATTTTAAGCTGAACCTTTTTGCATGGTTCTTTCATTATTCAATCATTGCTTTCTTCACGGCACTGCCAACGCCTTTATTCTGAATGTAAATAAAAACGATCTATAAATTAGCCAATACTTCTTTAACTTCAAATTTTTTAAAATTCCATAAATCATTTTAAATTGAAATCTCACTCACATATCCTCTAAATAGAAGCTGTAAAAGGATCTGGTTCATTATCCATTCTTTTATTTAGAAGTCATGACCCTATTAATTCTTTAGATAAAAGAGGTAGGAAAGAAGCGAAATCCACATATTTCTAAAATGATTCTTGAACTCTGTGTAAGAAAGCACCAAATGCTGTCGAGCTCCAATAAAAGTAAGTAGCAAAAAAGTCCAAATAACAATTCATTTCAAGGACTTAAATAGCAGATGAATAAATTGATTAATCGAAGGATTTATTGGTTATTAATAAATATCTATAATCTGACAAGATGAAACAGAGACACCAGAAATTGTTTACGTTACCATTATAATCTATTATTTTTTATGCAAGCACCGACATCTGAGAAAAGTCAATTGTGCATAACTTCTAACCTAGTCCAATTCACAAATCTTCGGGATTGTTGCAAAATAAAACAAATGCTCCAATGACTCTTCATTTATCTTCTAAAGCTCACGGATTAAAATTCATTAGTAGTACACCGTAGAGTAATGCACAAAAATTCAAGAAAAAAGTTCGAAGATTATTCAAAACGAAAAACTGAAGTTTTCTTTGAAAAAAACTTTTAAAGCTTACAGAAACATCGTCAATCAAAAAGTATGAAAAGAAGGCAATTGCAAAAAGATGGAAGAATAGAAGAGGAACGAATGGAAGCTCTTAAAGTGAACTGATCGACAAATGGTTCTGTTAGTTTTGTTTCCCAAATATCAGGTGCAGTCATTTTCCGAAAGCAATTTATTATATTCTCTTCTTTTCTTTTTTTGAATATAACGGTGTGTTCTAGAACAAATAAATGTGGAATCGAAATTGAAAACTGAACCAAAATGTTTTACCATATTTCATATTAAAAATATTCTTTATTTTAATTTAATTGATAACAGATCAAGTCCTATCTGTGCATCATAACATTTAATCGATAAGAAAGAGTGCTGCACATACAAACAGAACGTTAAAATAACAAAGAGCAATATCAACAGTGATAAGTGATGATTTAACATCCAAAGTGATTAGTTAAGAAAGCTCAGTGAATAATAACGAGAATTAAAAAAATAAAGCAGTGGATGTAAAGGATGGAAATGTTTGAAGAATTAATTTTGGTTCATATAGTAATAAACATTTCCAAACGTTCAATGATGAATCATCGAGAATAGAAATTCAGACAAGCGAAAGATATTTGGAAATTAAATAAACAATTTGATTGGTACAATTTGTATGCATGAATGAGTAATAAATGCAATATCATTTGATCCATTTAGAATTCAAAATAGATAAAATCCTTGTTCAGCTAAACAAGTGCTAAGATGAGGAAACCTTTAGTACAAATAACGACGTCTAATATAATCTTCTCCCCTTTTACTATTTCTAAATTTTCATCTTATTTGAAATTTTGCGAAGGAATCTAATATTATTATCCATTTTTTAAAGACTAAATAAATGTCGTTATTTATGCTAAAAATTTTAGAAAAAAAAAAAAATAATTTGGGAAAAATTTCCGTAATAATGCATAAAGCGTTGAGCTCTCGCTTAATTAGAAAAATAACAAAACACTAAATGACTAATTCACTGACACATCAGAGTAGTTCAGTTTCTTATTTCTCTTATATGGAAATTGTACTAATGGCTTGCTCTAGAAGATGGTTACATTCTGAGTGAAACCAACGAATTGAATGTAGAATTAAATGAATTTGAATTAAAATTATCATGAGGAACTTGACCACTTCTCTTTTTATAAAAAGCGCGTAAAAATAAATAAATGAATGCATAAAACGAACCCTAAGGACTGCAGTGGTGTTGACACTTGCAAGGGAATTGCTAACAACACACTGGTAGTACCCACTGTCCAGAACCTCTAAATCAGTAATCACCAGTCGAGACCAATATTCACGATTCTTTATTTTCAACTTGCGATTCTTTTCCACCGGTGCATGATTTTTTAACCAGCTACAACAGGTTTTCATATCTGATAAGGAATGAATAAATTTCTGTGGCGATTAATTACCTTATTTATTTTGAGTAATTAAAAGAGCTCAATTTGCACTCATGACTCTAAAAAATGTTCAACAATCTAAAATTACATAGCTCCAAACTAAATATCATTGCTCATCGCTTGACAGAATATTTTAATTATTATCTGGTATAAATCTTTCTTTCAATTTCTATCCGATGTGTTCCACATATTTCGATATTATTTCTCAGTCATACAAATAGCATTAAGTGAATTAGGATCTTTCTTTTAAATTTTATTTAATCAAAAACTTACCTAAACTGAAGAGGTAATGGACTACCAGCAGCTTCACATTTAAATCGTACTTCATCACCCGCATTTTTTGTGACATTATTCAGAAATGATGTCAATCTAATATATGGTCGTCTAGAGGGCGATGAACCGTCCTCCATACTGCAAAAAATAAATGATACTGAAGTTATGAGTTACTGCTCAAAAATAAAATGAAACGACAAGAATGTTAAAATTATCAAAAAAGCAACTAAATGAGATGCCTATTTTTGTAATCCAATATAAAAAAATTCAATATTTGCACTTTCCAAGCAGTCCTCTTCATCATTTAGATATCAGCTGACTCTTTAATACTTTTCATTTCTTGCTCAGACTCACCAACAGCTTACCACTCAAGAATGCACTGATAATAGTTATCAGTGAGGATTACAAGTAAATTTTAAATAAATTATATATTTCTACATAAAGCTGCATTTCAACTGTACTCCATTTCAAATGTAGACAACACCACAGTTTTATAATCTTCTACTGCTACAGTCTATTATTCAAGTGTCATCAAATCTTGACAAAAACCAATGAGTTGCGAATTCGATACAGAAAATGGATTTCATAAAAAACATTCCGAAAAAAAGAAATGACATCAATAAACATTAGGAAATGCTCAAGAATAAGGTGTTGTTAAAATAATTGATAAATAGGGTTATAAATTAAGGGAAATGTATTGTAGTAGAAGTGATTAATGAATGATTACTGAGGGTGGGTGGGGTACTGTGCGGTGAAATACTGGTGGAATAAATTTTAAAGATGGAGCAATTTATCACGAAAGGGAGGAGAAAAGCCAAGAAAGAGGCATAAGGGCTTGAGCGCAAAAGATAGAAAGGCATCAGGCAGCAGCTGGAAAAATCAAATTTCATCAAACAAAAAGAGAGAAAACTTGTTTCTTTTCCATACACTGACAACGACTATCATCTCTACAAAAAGACCTAAACTACCTACTACAATCCGTTCGTCCGTCACTTCAATTCCACTCTCCCTGTCCGGTCCGGTGAGCCGCTTATATTTACTATCATTTACAGATCATACCAATCATTCTTTTCTCCAAATCTATCTAAAAAAAATTACAGTTTGTCTTTCAATTCTACTTTTTTAGCACATTGCTATTTAACTTACTCACTCATTCGACATAGAACTCGTTTAGTTCTTTTGGATTTGAATAACACTCTTAAAATTTTTGAAAACCGTAAGAAAGAAAATCATAGTAGAAAGGAAATAAAAGAGAAGTGAAACTGATATGAATCATACTGCATCACTTCTTAAAATTTATCGACTTCCCATCTTCTCACAGGAAAAATCGAACTGACAATGAGTTCGTAACATTAAAACATGGAGAGAATGTCACCGGGAAATCCAAGCAAGCTAATATGATAACAAATATTTTACTGCTTAAAGTTAAGCGATCCAATAATTGACAATCTAGGCAATAAGTGAGGTAAACAGAGCTGTTTGCTTTAAATAATCGAACATTCTTGAAAAGTTCAAGGATTTCCAACAAAATATGATAAATATTTCAGATACAAGGGGTTTCTGTAACAATGTCCATTTGATGAAGTTTTGATGATTTAGTGATAGGATATATAATATAATATAAAAGTTATCCGTGATACACTGCTTTGTTGTTATTAATGTGCAAGGTGGAAGCATTCTGCATGCATCAATCCAAGCACATTTTAATGTCATATGTCAATCCGAAGAAAATGAAAGGAAAACTTACATGTTTAAGAAGAGTGAATTTATAAATAACAGGAGGGGGGTATTTACTTGGTAGTATATTCAGTTGTCAATCTTTTGCATGATTTTATTACTTCTTAAATTTATAAGCCTTCAATCTTTATTCACTTTCTAGTTATTCGTGTAACAAAACTGCTATATTCGCAAGAATTTCGATGAAAATGAGGACTGAGTGGATGGAAAAACAGAAAAAGTCTTTAGCGATAGATATTTCTAATATTATTATATCACACACCTTTCTACCCCAACAAATATCTTCATTCGTTGAAGATAGTATGTGAATTTTTCACAAAAGTATAACATTGCCTTTTTAGAATAACTGTAAATTTATCAGAAATCAGAGTATGTTTTAGTCTCAAAAAAATCCGAACTGCAAGGTAAAATCATCGAAAATCGGTGACGTAAACCGATGAATGATATTCTTATTGCTAACAGGACAATCTTCATGACTCATGATCCTGGTAAAAAGTCACTCCTCTGAGATTAATTCTCACACGGTCCTTACATGCTTAGAGCGAAATGAAGTCGGTGTATATGGGATCTTTAAATACGTTAATTCAACTCAACAAGAGTACAGTTTAAATTTCAAATTTTTTTTGAACCGAAAACTTCGTTGCTTGTATTTGAAATTTTGTGAAAATTTAAAGAATACCGTACTAAAAGACAAGCAAAAAAAATTTATTAAAGAGATAGATAATGCTTAACGATATATTGTGCTATACTTCAATATTAGTGAAGGATCGAAGAGCAGTGATGATTACAAGGTCATGAGAATTAATTAAGAAGAATGACCTTTGCTGTTGTCGAGGACAATCACACTGTGTCTTCTCATTTTGTGTTGCATACCAATTTCCAGGCAGGATTTGGCATGAGGAAAATCGAAATTTAAAATATCTTTACAAATATATAAGTGTCTTAATATAATTTCATGGAAAGTTTCCATGTCTTTTTGAAAACCGTTTCTTGATAGTTTTGTATTATCTTTTAAATGTCATAATTCTCTGAGTATTCTCGAAAAGTTAGTTGTACTTATAGTGATTGTAGGAATCTTCAAGTTCATTTCTGATCTTCGAAATAACAGTGATAAGCAAAGTAAATTAAATAAATTTATTGAGTAATATAAAACTGCTCTGAACTTTTTCTTTGAAGATTGTAATGTAATGCGGAGATTGATAAAGGTCCGGTAATGATATACGAAATGGGTCGAAGAAAACGTCAAATGGGAGCGAAGGACATTATAAACATAAAATGCGAACATCCTACATACATCAATAAAAAATGGCATAGAAAAATTGCGTAACAACAAATAAAGTAGCAAATAAAAATTGATTGCAAATTGGTCGACAATTAATGATGTTTGAGCGGGAGGGGATGGATATATATCATTGTAACGACCGATCGGTCATCACTCCGTCCGTCCGTCCATCCGATCCGTTATGGCAGCCCCAGTTAACAGCCCATATATCATATATACTTACTGCTTCCATTGCACACCACTGCAGCAGCAGCAGTAACTCGAAGATAGCTAGATGAAGCAGCAGTAAAGTGGAAGGGACGACGGTTGCTACTTACTTCTCTACCAGTCTCACCGCCGGATCCCTCCAGGACAAGGAGAGTACCACCAGGTCCTTTTTTCCCTCTCTTCCCCTCTTTATTAGCTGCTTATCCATTCGTTCCACCACGCTCTCCTCCGATCTATTTCCATTTGAAAACTGATCTACCCGAGTCTACTCATCAACTTACCCATATCTCCTATATATATCACCAGAATCGTCCCACCAATCCAGTTACTCAATATCCTCTCGTCCTGTTTCTATTTATTCAACTTATTGTTTTCCATTCGGGCACTATATTTGGATTATATTCAAGTGTTCTATTTATTTTCTGTAATTTACACAGCCCGGATGATGTCAACAGAAAGGGTGGACAGTTGATGGGAACAATGAAAAACTGAATGGCTCTTTAGTAACATAATTGCTTGTTGGATAAACTAATCAATAGTCTTAATTAAGCAATCGATATACATCTCAACGTTCGTAATACGTAGTAGAGTGAAACACTGCACATACTCATTTTGTTGGTCATTTATTACTAATGAATATTTGTTTGTATAAGTCATTTATCCTTATATCGAGTGCATGTATAAATAGGTCTAAATTAATTTAATCAGAATTTTGACGGTAAGAATTCGAATTGTTGAAAGGAATACAGAAAAGTGCGAGGAAGTTGGCATTTAAAAGAATGTAAACGTGGCAATTGGTGCTGTCACATACATTTTAAGAGAAAGCTTTTGTTGCCTGTCTTCTTGGAATAACCCAGTCGATCATCAAAATCACTGATTATAAAGAGAGTCAACCATAGTTTGCATCCCTCTTTAACGGGTAAAAAACCTCATCAATCACGTAAGATCTCTATGAACTGAACTTATTTCATTTCAATATTGACCGGAATCATTGCTATTTACTTATTTACAGCATTTTAAAATATTACTTTGGTAACAAATATTCAAAATTACAAGACTAAAACCAGAAATATTTTTAATTTTGATGTGTGACTTGCGCTAAGCATACAAGATTATTATGTCAGTACATTAATTGCAGAGTAAGTATGACAGAGGAGCTATTAAATTCGAGACATTATTATCATAATATTATAGTAATGTCCAAAAATTTCTAACTGATTTCTTGAATGAATTCATGTAGAATGTGATGATAATATCACAAATACAAATTAGAAAAAAATCTGTAAACCTCAACTTCGCAACTTCCAGATTTAAACTAAACAACAACACTAATGTGATTTGAATCCGAAATACAATAGCAAATATTAGAATATTATAATATTTAGCATTCAACCATTCATTTAAAAAAAGAAAAAAAGTTTTTTTCTTTTTTAAAGAACTAGTTTTTCAAATACGTTTCTTAGTTTCGCTAATGACTTGTCAGTAGTAAATCCATAATATTTACATTATCTGCTGAACTTCGCAATAGCTAAGGTTAATTATTTTATTTAATCTATAATTGAATCCGAAAAAAGTTCTCAGAGATCATCTTACGATGATTCTGCCAAAGAACAATTTGAAAAAATGCTTTTCAAATTGATTCATTCAAACCAAAAAATATTTCGCCTTTTCCTGAATTCGAGAGTAACATAAAGCATTACAGTAAGAAATGCAAGGTCTACAGCTTCTCCGCCCTTTTCCATAAGAAATTGTGACGGTAAGTAGTACTATTGAAAGCATATTTTTTTCAGGAAACAAAAGCATATAGTGCTTATTAATGGTATTCATTTAGTGTAATACTTAATACTTTCAGTCTTGGCATTCTCCGTACTATAAAGTGGGAAAGTTAAGATTACTCGAGAAAGACACTGTGGGAGGATTAGTTTAGACAAACGAGACAATAGGAATCGGATAACAGGAGAAAAGTGATCTAAGGACGGAAGCTCCTCTCGGCATAAAATACAAGACATAAAGAGAAGTTACCAAGTTCTGCGTTATTGCTAACAAACTCAGGAGTTGTTCCAATAGCTTAGCAAACAGGTAGAGCACTTGCTGTCCGCTCTCTTCCTCATTTTATTCTCAGAGAAAACAAATTATAATGAAAGTGTTATTTTAAGCTCTTGCTAGGCTAAATATATTTCCATGAAAAAATTCAAAAGTTTTTTTCAGACCAAACCTGATAAAAATAGAAAAAAAACCAACGTCATATTGTAGTCAGCATAAACAATATCGTAATCACCAGCCGGTTCAATAAATAAATCGTCATACGGTTTTGGCACCATATCAGATTCAGATTTCCTTTGCTTTGTTATTTCGGTTCCTGCATCTTCCTGCTGAGGCTTTCTTCCGGATTTCAAATCATTTAGTTTTTGCACTGATTCTGCAAAAAATCTTAGAAGTTTTAAAATGTTCTCATTATCCCAGTGATAATAAGTGAGAGTTAACATATAACTGTAGAATTTAATTATCATTATATGTTCTTAAAAATAGTTGATTCGGACGATCTTCGCCTCAAAGAACAAGTGATGAATATAAACAACTATATCATAAAGATATTTTGCTGAAATTATAAGTTCTTTATTAACCACAGGAAGTTACTGGGTGAAGAAAAAGCAAGCAAAGCTTATTTATAAAATCATTCCTGTTGCCACTTTCTTTCTTTATAATCAAACATTTAGAACAACTCATCTGTCATTCTCCAAAAGAAAAAAATAAAATTATTCTAATTACCCAGTAATATAAAAATCACAATGAATAACGATGTAAATGTGAATATGTCAGGTTAAATTTTAAATACCAACTGATGCAACTTCAAATTAAGCAATATCTACACATTAAAAAAATATATATTAGAACAAAAATTATTGCTATTAAAAAGACTTAATTTTTGTGTTACTAGCTCATTCATTAGCTGTTTTCTTATTCGTCATTATGAGGACATATAAAAAGAAAAAAATTTCTCTAACAGTTTGAGCAGAACATTAAAATGATCAAAAAGATGGATAAATCAAATTGAAGTTAGAAGATATTTAGAAAATGACGAAATCAGAGACTAAACCATTAAAAATTCCTAATAATAGAATTTTTCATGAAATGTGATAATGCGATAAATTGATAGTATCAGGGGTAAAGAAACGAACGAAATGGGTTCATCTCAGAAGACCGAGGGAACGAGTCAAGCAAGCGATGATGCTTAACAGAACATCTTTTGTCCTCCTGGAAATAAGTCTTTTCATAATTAGATAAGAGCCAAGCACATCAGTGCCGGAGGAAAATGAGAAGGAATACTTCAGCAAAGAGAATAATTCATAACAATCCAATAAATGAGCTGAGTATTTTAATATGCAGAAGAACTTTATAGATTAGCATTTTAGTTTTACTCCATGTAATTTAAACATTTTTATTAATTTCTATTTGTTTTGAAATCGTCAGAAATCTTCAGATCAGATTTTTCTAAATGTGGAAGAAATATTAGTAAATTTTCTCCATATTTAAATTCTTTTTTTATTAATCAATTCTTAGTTTAATAAAACTTCAGAAAATGAAAACGAAGAAAAAGAAAACGTTCGAAACTTCAGAATAAAACTTGAAATCATTCTTAAAGAATTACACTGCCTGTGAAATATAATAATACTTAACATCATAAATGTTGTGAATGTGAATGGCTTATGGTTAATGAAGTGTGTCAAATGTATGAACACAATTAGTGATCTTCAGTTAGAGGTGAACAGAAAGCTTTTAAGTACCGGAATTAGTCTCACCGTTTGCCCAACATCAATGTCAACCTCTATTATTATCGTTGCCCGTGTAGCTCTCATTCATCCATCATTTTTGCTTGATTTGAAATATGCCTCCCAATATTTTTCAGCAGATGTATTTCTCACCAAAGGTTTTACATTTTACTTAAAAAAGTATTACTAATACTATCACTGCTTGCAATATTGGAACAATATTATCTGCTGAATTTGCATTGGACGATAATAAAAAGTTTTCCTATGAATTTCACCTTCTTAAGAGCAAAAAAAGGAAAGCAGAAAAGGTCACATGACTGTCCAGTGGGTTCAATCTTTCAGCGTGCAAAGCAGTGAATGGTTAAGTATTGTTTACGACTACTGTAAAGCGATGATAATGTTTATTTTCCTATCAATACCATCATCATTCATCATCACTCAATCAGTAGTATTGATCATTTCTTGCTCAGCGACACTTTCAGATGATATTAAATTGTGGAACTGTTTCAGAAGCGCAATAATGATAATAGTACTTGTAGCAACAGTACACACAATAGAATAGATCAGAAACGCGACAAGCCGATGCTTCCGTATGTCAACTGTTATTGATGAATTGCTGTCCAACCTCCTACACCAACTATCCATCATTTCAAACAGTGATTACACATTTTCATAAACTGAGCAGATCGCTAGCGGTAATTTATTACCAACGATTACAGTTATTTCTCGAAGACCGCCATTTCCATTCTCAGTTGATTACAATTTTCACCTTTAAAATTATAATTTTAAACACTGATGATGAACATTAAACATTTTTATCAATTTATATATATAGAGAGAGAGAGCAAAAAAAAAAGGAAAAGAAAATTTTCGAATTTTTCAAAAAAAAATCCAACAAATAACCCCAAGTTGTGAAAAAAGCGAATTCGAAAATCTTTTTACCAGTCAATTTCTGCAATTTCAGGAGAGTAAATGGATTTAAAGAAAAGTAATTGATGTTGATTGTGTCCGAAAAAATTTCATTTCATGTGTGCATGATTTGATGAACGCTATAATAGGAAGAGTTCACAACAAGACTCTGGTCAAGAAGCTTTATTTATTGCTAAGGTTGAATTGGATTGGGGAGAAGGAGAAGTACCAAGCATTAATGAATGACGAACTGGCATGTAAATGTGCTGAAGGCGACAATCATCATCGATTCTTATCGCGAAAGTAAAGGAATGAGAAGACAGGACAGGACAGGAAAGGAAAAGACAGAAATTGACAGAAGGGAACGGGACATAAAGTAAGCCTCGTCTTTCTGGATAAGCAATAATGGGCAAAACTGCTCATTTGCTTGCATTCCAAGGTTTAATATTAATGAATAAATGCAAAAAGAAAAAATGCAACTGAAAAGTGTTTTTAGAGAGCTCAACAATAATTAATATATTCTCTTAAGTATTTGCATGAAATTCATTTAATTTGCTTTCAAAAACAAAAAAAAAAAAATTGCAAAGTTTTTCAAAAAATTCAAAAGCCATCAAAAAGATAAGGAGGTGTGCACCCTAACTCGAATTTGAATTTAAATGCCTTCTAATGAAATTGCAGCAAACTTTATAAATAATCAATGGCTGGCATACCTGGAAATGGATGGATAAAATTCAATGGAAAGCTTTTTTAAGACATGGATGAAAAGTCAAAGTCCCTAGTTGTCCTATTCATCGTGAATTATTCAAGTTACCATTGTTCAGGTTCCACGAAATTACTCCAGTCTCTTTCCACCCTATCTCCCTTTCATTCTTCCATTCCGTTTCAGAAATTCCAATCACAAGAAGTGTACATTAATTTGTCTCTAAAATCATAATGCTTGTGAATGGAACTCAGAAATTCGTCCTAATTCAAAATGTCTTACGTGAAAGCTTGAGGAAATTGCAGCATTCTTTACACTCTCAAAATGCTCCAACAGTTATTTTCAGTAACATATGATTCGTAATATTTATTAAAACATATTAAAATTTATGATTTTTTTTTAAATTCAGAGGACTGTTTTATGGATGTAATATACAAGCAGATTAGAAATCTTTCCAATTAGAAATTCAGGTTTGAGCAGCTTGTATGGTATTTGCAGAGGTCATCAGCACTTATCGAGTATGAAGATGAGACCATCTGTCCAAAATGGGCAATTAAGCACATTGAAGACTTTGTTTTATAAGACAAGATGAAATTTTTACATCTGTTATGTTGGGAACAGTAAGACAGAAAAATGAATTTAGAAGGAAACTGTTTTCAAGCTAAGAGCTAATGAACTGATATTAAGTGAACTGAAGAGGAGAAAAAGATACTTGACCCAAAGGTGACCCAGGGGCTAACATAATTTCTGCATTAAAAAGAATAATCAGAAGATATTGCAAGTCTTCTATTGAAGCTCTATCGATAGAGATATCCTTATCTAGTCAAGATACGTCCGTAAAGTTCCCATGATGATTTTAAATTGAAGTATCGATAATACTAATGACAAAACTGAACAGATGGAAATGTACAATGAAAAATCGTAAAATCGAAAAGATCGAAAACGAATAAGATTTGATTTGTAAATGTGGAAAAGTATTATTTCAGGAGAGGATGACACAAATAGGTTTCTTCATGCAATGGAGAAAGCAATGCATGCTCAGCACCTTATCATGTTTAATTGAGCATCACTTTGCTGAAGGTCATAATAGTTTTCTGTTTTCTGCAATCCACTATCATCTGAGTACCTTCAACATTCTCAGCACAACAATTATATGTAGGAGTGAACTGCAAGTCTTACTACAGTACAGCTCTCTACATAAAAGGTCAGTGTCAGTATTATGAAGTGAAGAACAACGAATGAAAAGAAAGCACAATAACAGGATGTGTAAACAGGCGATCGACAGGTACGGGAAATGGAATTCAAAGCTTCAAAAAATTATGCAATTACAATAATAATTCTTTATCTAGCCGAATATTTATTCATTTCTTGCAGTTAGCAGTATTCAGGAATGTTCTATCAGTTACTAAATGTCTCACACTACATCAATCTTCATGAGATATATCATATTCTAATAAGTAAGCTATGATAAAACAAAAAAGCCAATGTGACTTACCGCATTGACACAAATCGACATTTTACGCATTATCCGAAAGATTTATTTTGGCTGATGAATTAAACAAGAAAAAAGCTGTTCTTTCAGAGTACTGATTCACACAAAATAACAAAACATTAATGCAGAAAAGTTTTTTCACAGTAAAAAATCTGAGCTGCATTATTCAATTGTTTTTAAAAAAAAAAAGAAAAATTGTTAATTAAAAATAAAAGTATATTTTTAGAACTAGATAAATTAGAGAGAACTGATATACATAACGGCTTCATCTTTTCATAAACTTAGCTATCAGAATAAGAAAGTTTACAAAGTGCAACAAAGATAATGCAAATGCAGAATTTGAAATACGATATGAATGTGTTGGTTTCATTACTGCAACTGATATATACTAATACCTCATTTCAGGGAAGCATAATTGAGGAGGAAGAGGAGAAAATTATTAATTTAATAACATTTTATGCAAGCAAAACACTCGATGCTACTGACAATGTGACAAGACAGTGCAATGTGAATTACAGAAAAATGATACAAATAAATTCGGTGAAAAAACATCGACAACTTGGCTAAAGATTGTACTGGACTAAGCCTGCTAAGTCACCTTAGTTTTATACACAG